TGATTAATCAGCGAGTTAGTATAGTGGTTATTGCACACGCGCGCGTTCGGGTTCTTTTCCGTCCCAAACAGAGAGACGCGTGAGGCTGGGTCACGACATGATGTATATTAAGTGTGGGTGATTTGCGCCGTCGTTTTTGCCTGGTTATACTGTACCGGATTCAGGCTTGCGAGCGGGCTTTCCCTCCCACTCCTGTGGCCCCGTGCTACTATGCAACCCATCCGCAAACCTGCATCCGGTAACAAGAAAACCCCAGGGAATGTTCGCGATCGGTGAGAAGCGCGTGTGAGCTAGGGGCTTCCCTCTCTGGCCATGCTGTCCGTGAGGGCAGCGCACGCACCAAGCAAGTCTTAACTCTCCCAGTCGTGTTCGACCCTTAAGCGCGTGGTTCTTTCCCTGCCCCGGACAATCCCGGACTGTGCTTGTGCCCTCCTATTTTTGCAAGTATACCCCCCCCCCCCTTAAAACTGGTTGGAACTAGTTGGTCTCCGTGGCGCGGCGGTTGTGGGCCAGGCGCGACCGGGGGGACCACTCGACTCGGGCTCCTTGTCGTTGCGCACTCCCCACAAAAAACGAGACAAAAGTAAAGTGCGCCAGCCGCACCCAAAACCGCCGCCGATTCCAGAAGTCCTGGAAATCAAAAGCACAAAACGGCGCTGGTTGACATTTTACGGCCTTTTTAACGGGGAGAGAGCCTGCAGGACCGCTCAACGCGCAGGCGCGCGCCCGCCACCACCACCACCACCTCCTCGCCTGACCTTGTCGAGTGGCGCCACCTGTGGGCGCTCGCGCGAACTACCGCGCGGCCCAGCTGAGCGCTGGCTGCCAGCTCCGCCAGCTGGTTGCAGTGTAAATATCAACAAACAGACAGCCAGTGGTTCGAGCGAGGAGACCCTCTGCGTTTACGCGGATCCTTTTCGGACTTGCGGGTAGGTGCACAGGTGCGCAGGTGGTCAGGAGGACGGCCTGGAACAGGGCGACGACACTGGGCAAGCGTAGGACGAGAAACGGGTCGTCGTTCCTGCGCGCAGATCGAAGTTGTGATCCTTTGTCCTGGCTGGCTGGGCAGAGCGGAGCGCGAGGCGTCATGGCGGGCGCTGTGGGTCCTGGTCGACGTCCTGGGTGCGCGGGGCTTCACGCCCGTCGGAGCAGGACGACGCGAGGGCCGCGCATATCGCAGCCCGGCCACATTGAGGGCAAATCCTTCGGCTCGCCTGCCAGCGCGGACGAGTGTCGTGCTGGTTTTAGTAGCGAGATGTGAAGTGGTGGTGGTGGTGGTTTGTGATGAAACCGCGAGCCTAGCCTCGCTGCTGGTGCCCCGCGCTCCGCGTAGCTCCGCGCGCTCACCTAGGCCCCTCTGGCCTGGCGCGGCTCCAGCTGCACCACGCCTCTCCCTCGCCATTTTAGGGTGACAAAGGACGTAACTCCTGGAAAGATTTTTCAAGAGTCCTCGTCTTTGGGTGGAATTCTTCCGGGCGGACTAAGGGGGTGAGCGGAAGGGGTGGGGAGTTTGCG